CGTCCCGTGCAGATCCTCTTGATCGCTGCACGGACCGGCCGCGGAGTGTGGAGGGGCGGAGTGCGGACGTGGGGGCGCCCGGGGGTGAGGCCGGGGAGGGAGGGTCCGGAGCCCAGAGCCGTGGAAGTGGGGTCGGGTAGGTGCGCAAGGGAACGCTCGGAGGACGAGGACTGGGAGGCGGCGGGGCTGGGGAATGCAGCCGTCATCGCGCTTTTTAGGTTTCGTTTTCTGGGGACACGGTTTCGCTTTCCCCGAGGCGCCTCCTGGGCCTGCCTCTTCCACGCGGTCATTCCCGGTCGTGTCTCCGCAGGGTCCAGCTTGCGGCTGCCTGTCCAGGCCTGGACGCTGGCTCAACACCTGTGACTTCACGTGTGCGTGCCCACCGCATCTGCAGTCGCAGCTGTAGCCACCTTTGCCAATCCACACCTAGACGACATCGGTGGCTACAAGCCCTACGTCACACCTGTGACCCTCAACACCCGGGTCACATCTGTGACACCTGGTCACGCTGACACCTGTGGCCACAACCTGACACCTCTAGTGACACACGAAGAGCCCCCTTACCTCACCTGCGGCAGCATCCCACCCCCTGCCCTGCCCACTGCCCCGTCCGCGCAGCAAGCAGCGCCGAGAACATGGCCCTGGCTCAGGGGAGGTGAGCTCTGCCGGTGCTCCGGTCCGGAGCCGGTCCTGGCCGCGCGGCTGGACCCCTGCCGCGGCCCTGACCCTGTGCCCTGCTCTGCCCGCAGGGGGGCCCCGCGGGTGCTGTTCGGAGAGTGGCTCCTGTGCCAGATCAGCAGCGGCTGCTACGAGGGGCTGCGGTGGCTGGACGAGGCGCGCACTCGCTTCCGCGTGCCTTGGAAGCACTTTGGGCGCAAAGATCTGGGAGAGGCTGATGCGCGCATCTTCAAGGTGGGAGCTCTGGCCCATCCCAAATGGCAAGGCCTACTTAGGACCGCAAGTTCGGCCCTGGGGGCCCATATCTGTCCTTGGCTCCCTCTCCCTAGGCCTGGGCAGTGGCTCGCGGCAGGTGGCCGCCCAGCAGCAGTGGAGGTGACCCGCTGCCGGCCGAGGCTGCAGAGCGTGCAGGCTGGAAGACGAACTTCCGCTGTGCACTGCACAGCACCAAACGCTTTGTGATGCTTAAAGACAACTCAGGGGACCCGGTCGATCCCCACAAGGTGTACGGGCTGAACCCGGACCTGGAGTGGAGAGGTGAGGAGCTGACAGGGACCGCAGGGGGCAGCCCTGCAGCAGGACTTGGCGCTCCTGTCTCAGGCACTTCTTGGTCGGGCTTAGGGTTTTTTTTTTTTTTGGGGGGGGGGGGTGGAGCCAGCAGATGGTAAAATGGTTACATCTCTAGGTTGCCCTGTAGTCCACCAGGGTTCGAGTGCCAGACCAGCGGCTTGGAACTCAACACAAGCCAGGCTTGTGTGCGGAATGGAGAAGGGGTGTGGCATAGCCACCCCCTAGTGATTTCTCACTTTCTGTCTCTGCAAGCAAAAAATCTCCCTCTAATAAAAGTGGTGGGAAGGGGCAGGCGGCAGGTGATGGCAGTGGTCGAGGTGCTAGACTCGGATATGGCTAACAGCCTTTCAAGTCCTGGACCTGGTGCCTTGAAAATCACTGCGTGTGTGTGCCCCCAATCCCAGGCGTATAGAGAAAAGGAGACTGCGTAGTGGTCATCTGTCCCGGGGTAATTTCTCACATCCCCTCAGTTTCTCTGCAGGGAGTGCATATACCCTAAGCAAAGACCTTAAAAAAAAAAAAAAAAGCCTGGCAGAGGCGGCAGCAGGCCCGCCCCACACCATGCACAGCTGTGAGCAGGCCCAGGGAGGGGAAGCTGCAGGTTACTGTACCGAAGGAATCCCAAGGGGCACCCAGGCACCCCCAGCCCTAACGCCCTCCCACCTTCTCCCTCAGAAGGCCCAGGCCTTGACAGAGAGGAGGAAGAGGCCCTCCACGGTGCCCCACCTACACAGGTAATCTCTGCAGCCACCCTTCTCCTGGGTGCCCTGGGTCGGGGCTGGCACTTGTCCCTGGGGCCTGGGGGCTGCCCGTGCTGCTCTGTGTACCCTGCAGGGTGGACTCCCAGGGCCAATCCTGGACAGCGATGCTGAGCCCAGAGCGCTGAGCTCTCTTTCTGCCCCAACTGCTGACTCGGAGGACATCTTGATCCAGGCTGTACAGCAGAGTCACCTGGGTGGCCATCTGCTGGAAGCCACATGGGTGGTAGACCCCAGCTCCTCACAGGTTCTTGGTGAGGGCAGAAGCTGGCCGAGGGTGGGGGCCCTGCAGAGTGTACTGCCCTGCAGGGGGTACTGCCCTGCAGGGGGTAGTGCCCGGGGAGGGGTGGCCCCTGGGGAGGGGGAGCGGGACTGCACCAGGGCTTCCACATGAGCAGGATGCAGGGGCACCACGAGAGGGCCCAGAACAGCTGGCCACAGCTGGGCCCTCTGGCAGCCCACTGCAGAGCAGTGCCCCACTCGGCCCCTCTGCATGGGCATGGGCAGTGGAGGCTGTCTCCAGCCTCAGCCCTAGCACCCAGGCTCCAATGGCATGAGGAGAGCAGAGGCCAGGTATCAGTGTGGCTCTCCTCCCCAGGGGCAGGCCAGAGTCCAGCCATGGAGCCCTTGCTCGAGGTGGAAGCCCACGCAGAACCCGTCCCTACTACCTGCACCCCAATGGGAGGTGAGTGGGCCCAGGAGTGGGGTGAGGGGCAGCCTGTACCCCCATTCCCCATTGCTCACAGCCTGGTCCACAGAGCCCAGCCTGGGGGTCCTGGACGTGACCATCATGTACAAAGGCCGCACGGTGCTGCAGGAAGTGGTGGGGCGCCCCAGCTGCCTGTTCCTGTACGGCGCCCCTGGCCCAGCTCGGCAGGCCACAGAGCCCCAGCACGTGGTGTTCCCCAGCCCCGCGGAACTCCCTGACCAGAAGCAGCTGCGCTACACCGAGGAGCTGCTGCGGCATGTGGCCCCCGGCCTGCAGCTGGAGTTGCGGGGGCCAGGGCTGTGGGCCCGGCGCATGGGCAAGTGCAAGGTGTACTGGGAAGTGGGAGGCCCACTGGGCTCTGCCAGCCCCTCCACCCCCGCCAGTCTGCTGCAGCGGAACCTTGACACCCCAATCTTCAACTTCGGCACTTTCTTCCAAGGTCGGTGAGGCGGCTGCTCGGGGGCAGTGGGGGGCTGTCCCTGGGCTGCTCCACCCCTGGGAGGTACCTGCTTGCCTAGTGCTGACCAGAGCCCCTTTATGCAGAGCTGGGAGAGTTCCGGGCACGGCGGCGCCAGGGCTCCCCACACTACACCATCTACCTGGGCTTTGGGCAGGACTTGTCAGCCAGGAGGCCCAAGGAGAAGAGCCTGGTCCTGGTGAAGGTGAGGTCCAGGCCCCGGTGATGGCACCCCAGAATCCAAAATGCCTAGGCCCCTGACAGATGCCCTTGTCCATAGCTGGAGCCGTGGCTGTGCCGGCTGTACCTGGAAGGTGTGCAGCGTGAAGGCGTGTCCTCCCTGGACAGCAGCAGCCTCGGCCTCAGCCTCAGCCTCAGCCTGTGCAGCACCAACAGCCTCTACGAGGCCATCGAGCACTTCCTCATGGAGCTGGACCAGCCTGCCTAGGGCCAGACACCAGCCCCTTCCCCTAATAAAAAGAACCCAAGAACCAGTGCTGGCGTCCTGGCTGAAGGTGGGCTCTGGGGGTCCTCGCTCCAGCTCTGGGAAGCCTGGTCTTAGCAGCACCCCAGCTGGAAATGGAGAGGGGCCTGGGCTGCACATCGTCCCTATGAGGCCACGCTGCAGCCCCAGGGAGGGAGAGGACCCCCTAACACCCAAGCACCCAGGCCTCTCCTGCACACCCACGCTCTTCTGCCTTCACAATGAAGAAACTCAAGCCACATGCTTTGGAGCCAACCAACTCTACTCAGAAGACACAGACCGCCCCAAGACCACAGGTGTGCTGGGAGGTGAAGGAGGGGACGCCGTGCCCTCCACAGCCCTGGGTACAGCCACCTCTGTTCTGAGTCCAGAGCCTGTCCCTAGCCTTTGACATGTCCCAATACCATGGCCTGCCTCATGGGAGGTAGTGAGCCGAATGCCCAAGTTTACAGGGGCATAAGTTGGAAAAGAAAATAAATTCCTAAACGAGATAGGTACAGAAATAGCTGCTGGTGGAACCAGCAGTTGGCATAACGGCTATGTTACTGGACTCCCATGTAGTCGACCGCAGTTCGAGTCCCGGGCCCAGTGGCTTAAACTCAACGCCAGGCGAGGGTGCGTGCGTGCCCAAGATCCCGAGAGGAGAATGGAGGAGAAGGGATTGCGGAGTGGCCATCCCCCCTGGGGGGGATTTCTCGGTTTCTGTGTCTCTGTCTCTCTCTCTTTCTAGCAAGCGCAGTGCCCTATAGCAAAAACTTCTCAAAAAAAAAAAAAAAAAAAAAAAAGAAATT